GAAGCGACGCGACGATACGTTCAGCTATAACCGACAAGTAGTTTACCCATGCGCATTGACGCGGCTTCGACCACATCCATACATATATGATTTTAGTGCACAGAATAAGACATAGACATACCGGGGCAGTTCTGAAATTACATTATTTGAAATATTATTTAAAATAACATGATATTTTATTTCATAATTATTTCGATATCTGTGATTAATTTTGAAACAATATTATTTAAATTATCGTTTCGAATTACATATTATCTTATTTCCTTTTTCTTTCGATGCCTGTAATCAATTCTGAAATAACATTATTTAAAAGATTATTCCAAATAACATGTTATTTTATTTTATAATTATTTGAGATAATTGTGAGATTCTTCTTAAAAATTACATAGTGATATATTATATTTATCAGCTCTGAGTCAAGATGAAAGGATCGATGTGACTACGTTAAATGTTTTTCCGATAATAAGAAACATTTTTCTGAAGAATAAAACTTCTCTTCCATTTTCCATACAAGTGAAACGATTCTTTTCTTTCACGACAATAGTAACATTCCAAAGGAAGCGATACCATCATCTCTTAAGGATGAACTTTTGAAAAAAATTTGCTCGTTGCTAATTGCCCTAAAGATTTCTTGAAATAAAATGTTTCTGCTGCATATTATTTCAGGGATTATATCTTTATGAACGGAGAGTTTTGTATAAGCTACTTGATATAATGATTCCTTAAAATAAAATGTTTTTAGTGCATATTATTTCTAGGATTATTTCTATTCCAATAATTGAAATAAAAAAATAACGAAATAATTCATTATTCGATATTGTTATGATTTCAAATGGATCCTTATTTTAATTGCATATAAAATTTATCCAGGTCGGCTACATGGAACATTTTTAAAGGTATTTATTTCTCGTTCCTTTTTTAAAAAAAAAAGAAACATAAGGTAAAAAGAGAACGTTTAATCGAAGCAAAAAAGTAGTTTTTAGAGATGTTCTATATATAGAGAAAGGGTCCCAGATTTAAAGTGCTAATCGTTTGCCAGTATATGAATGTTCTACGGATCTAAAGAGAGAAAAATGTTATGTGAATATAAGTTGTTTAACGCTTGGTTAAAAGTTATAAACAAAAGCACGGAATTCAAAGGGAACATTGTTATGTTAAACATAATATAATAATATAATATAATACTATTATAAAAGTAAGTTCTAAAATATACAATATACAGGGTGTCATGTAACTGTTTTTACAACCGAACAGGTGCTGATTCTACGTTAAAAATGAGTCAAAAATAATAATAAGTTCTTTTTTATTCAAGGCTCCGTTTTTGAGAAAAATGAGGTTAAAAAAGTAATGCTATTAAATAGGGAGAAAGTGACACGTCTGGCAACTACATACCAATTCCACTTCTCGTCAAACTACAAGTCACGCGAACTTGACACATTTTCCAATTCAGTTTTCTCCGAAACAAAGCCTTAAATGAGAAAATATTTATATATGTGTATATACATATAATGTAATAAAAGTAATTAAATATAATATATTTATATATAAATAATTTATATATAATGTGTGTGTGTACAACCGAATGACTATATCTGTGTAAGGTGCTATAGAGCTTTAAATTTACTTTTTGAGGTTGAATTTACTTAATGCATGGCAATTATTATTGCTTTTATTTATTATTATAAATAAAAACATTTAGTATGTCATATTCGATAAATATGAAGTTAAGTATGCCCGAAAAGAAACAAAATTAAAATTAGTATACACTAGTATAATCCATCTAAATTGGCAAAGTCTCGTGCATTTTAAAGATAAATTTTGCATATAAGCTACGCAATATATTTCCGAATTAAGTCCTGTGTCAAGTAATGCAGATCAACGCCAATGTTAAGGTGTTGAAATTAAGATCATCATATCAAATTTTATATTAAAATCATCTAATTATAGTCAAACATCAGGAAATTATTGATATCGGAAAATAATAAATTTAAAAAATGTATCTTTTAATAACGCGTGGAATTTAATTCTCATCAAGAGGCACATTTTATAGGTTACATACCTTTCCTGTGGATAGTGGTGTTTTAGAGATTTCAAGGTCATCTTGTATATCAGGCCACTAAAATTACCCTTTTGATTATGACTAAAAAAAAACAGCCCCTTTGATCTAAACACCTACTATCGTTGCATTTCAACACTATTTGCGACCATTATGTTAATTCTAATTTTTGTTAAATATTGGTACGCAGCTCGCATAAACAAACTCGCTTAAAGATAATGCAAACATTCGCGATCTATTCCACCACGGTATCGCAGTAAGTGCGTCTGTTATTGTTCGCCTCTGGTAGATTATGCTTTCGGTGTGGTTGTGGCCTAAGGATCCATGAGTGAGCGACGGCGTGCGAACGAAGGGGAGTAGACAGAGCAGAGGGAGTTCTAGCGCTAAAGCATAGAGATGCACGCGTGGGTTAAGAGTTCACGTGTGTCTATATTAAACTAGTACAGTGTTTATTCAATACATATAGATATATATGTGCTCTGTATATCGACCGTGTTATATCATTAACTGCAACGATCCCAACGAATTTTCGTATTTTCGTATCTAACTTTTTAATAAAACATTAACCTACGTCTTCAGGGTGGTTCATCAGATATTATCACCCCGATTTTTATCATTATTATTACTATACGTAGCAAAGAATATTTATATATAAAGTTGCACGATTTCGAGAAAGGCATATTTTGGTGTTGTGAGTCTTTTTGTAGGTGATCTTGTAGAAGAGAGAGAGAGAGAGAGAGAGAGAGAGAGAGAGAGAGAGATAGAGACAATCAATACTTTTTAAAATGAGACCGTATGTTTTTCCCTTCAGCAATCGATGAAATTTAATATTTTCTAGGAGAAAACATTAAACTATTAACATCTTCGCTAAGAAGATATTGTAATTTTAAAGTTGTCCAAATAAATTAAGACATGCAAGAAACAAAGATTGTCTCATTCGATTGAAAAAATTAGTAACACAACTCCACCATTAACAGAACACCACTCCACCACTATGTTCAATTTTAACTTTTATGGGATTGATTTTCAGCACTTATCGTATTGAATCAGAAACGTTCCAAATATTTAAAACGTTGAATTTAAATCATTTCATGTTTGGTATAGTTACTATGGAAGACGCTACTTATAACTTTGTGGCTTATAGGTTTTTATGGTATAGTTACTATGAAAGACGCTACTTATAACTTTGTGGCTTATAGGTTTTCATTGCGAAAAGAGTGGCAGTCTATTAACCGTTTCATACACAATGAGGGATAAAATTATTGCTACACTTGCAATATAGAAATAAAAGCAACAATAGATTCTATATTGTTAATTATAGTCAAACGTATCTAGCTGTATCTTAGATATAACTATTATGACAACAAATGCATGAAATCAAAACTGAATTGCATCATCGAGTGACTTTTAATAGTAAAAATTTCACGAACTGTTGAGAAACTGCAGGAATAAAAATATTCAATTAATTTAACGGGAATTTTCTAAATTAATACTTTGTACGATAGACCTTTTAGCGAATTACGTCGTGTAATGTATCGGGCATTGATTACACTAAACTTTTAATGAAATCAGGGTCTATATTATACCATTTTTAGTATTTCTCTTAACTGTTTTTCCAACGTTATGTTGTATTTTCGTACACTTTTTTTCAAGATTCGGCGATACGCGTTTGATAGAATTGGTAAGTATTTTATAATAATCACTGACGTACTGTATGGACTGTATGTATCGGGCCAAAGGCTTGCTGAAAGTGAAATGTTCTTCCAATGCCTAATTCATGTGCACTTTCTCGTAAATGTTCTTTTAAAATATTTCTATAGAAATATTTATTCATTATCCTATCATATTGCAAATATTTTATGATATCATATACTCGCCACAACTAATATTAATGAAACTGATTTAATGTAATTTCTTGCTATAAATATTACGTATAATATATACAACTACATTTGTTTGACCACAATTAATAATACAGAAACTATTCTTATTGTGAAATTATTCTTTGAAAAATTTATTTTTTCTGTTTTTATTTCAGACACTATTTTACCCAACACTGGACAACTGTTGGTCCTATAAGTGCATACAGGTATACGTATCTCATTTCGAATGAAGAATTTTTTCTTTATACTTCTGAACCATTTGCGTATGAAAGATTATTTATAAATCCGGTTCACCGAAAGTCAAATTTCCTTGATAAACGAACAAAGCAGGAAACATATGTCGGCGATGTTAATACTTTTGAGAATAATCAGTAATGTGCAACTTGCATCTACTTTTTCACAGACTGTAAACAGTGTTCTTCCAACAGCCGATGCATCAAAGCGCGCCTGAACTGTAAATACACGAGCTCGGGACAGGTATCAACACTATCGATGCGTTTCAAAAATTACGCGTTGCTGGATACGTAATGTACGTAATGTGTACCTAATGAACGGTGTCACTTTAGTTGAAATTAATTTTTTATATTTTTCATTCACCAATGTCTGACAATCTCGCGATATTTGTTGAAGATTTTAAATTCACCTTTGTTTTACAATAAATATAATATTTCCCTTCGTTGTTACAATACACAAACAATGCTGGGAACCAATCTAATTCACACAGGTTTCCCAACTTCAAAATTTATACACAAAGTTCTCGATTTGCTCGCGAACATCACAGTACGAAACCACCATAAAATGCTTACTGTATATAGTCGATAGTGTCGATAACCTTCTATTTTCATATTAGATTACTTTTGTACACATATTTCTTCTCTATATACTTTACTGATTTTTTTCAAAACAAACGAAAATAATTTGTTTCCATTGTGTGCGAATGAAGTTCGTAACGCGACATATTCCATGATTATTTACATATTCCATTGTTTTGGTTATATAGCGCCAATATAGGTATAAAAGTAATCAGTGCGCAATGAAGTTTTAGTTGATCCATTGCATACCACTTTCTTCTGGTTTCGAATCCCGCAGGACTCTCGATGCTCGTTGCCTTTGTTAGCGTGACCCGACCTCGAAGGGAAGCTTGACGTGGACATTCAACGGAACATATTATATTATCCACTGTTCAAAACACTTTTTTCAGCTCACCGAAGACGCGTCATACTAGAAAAGTTTTTTTTTACACACTTTTGACGAACTCTTTATAAAGAAGACAATTGTTACATACGGTGCTGTGTTTATCGATGCATTCGCGATCACCGTTTTAACATTCCAGTTTGGCCAATTGATTTCAACTTTGTCACGGATTTTACAAGGGTCCGTGAAACAACCAGCAGTCTTTAATACTAGAGAACAGTTCTCGATTAGTTCTCGAACATAAACACTCTACATATGTTGCGAAATAAAACTTCTCTGTCAAGTTAAATTCTTTCTATAGACGGTCGACACTTATTACACGCTGTCATCGATATATGTAAGTATTTTGGACAGTTGTTTGTGTTTATGTGTAACACTGGTCACTCACTTGTAACATGAAAACCGAACGAAGTATTATAAAAAAAGGAACATAGAATATGTCGCACTTGTGGAATGAAATCTATATGGTTTACCGGTAACAGAACTTGCATAGCATTCGGGCTTTTTTTAACACGCCGGAAACGTGCTGGGAATAACTGTTTTCGAACCGTAAAGACACCGTAATCTCGCCCGTGAAGCACAGCGCTCTTCGCAAGGGGCGCGGCGTAACTGAGCTCGCCGAACCAACCCCGTCCTTACTTTTCTCCCTCTCCGTTTCGCGCCGTCTCTCTTTCTTCTTCTCTTCTCTGTCCCTCGACTACCTTTTCGCCCACCCCTCTCCCTCTTCTACGCAGTCGCTCTTCCAACCCACAAAACCTCTTCTCTCTTTCTCACTTTGATTTTCGGCTCTCGTTTACCCCTTTATCCTGCTTCTTCTTTCACTCTTTTGGGCGCATTCCCTCCTTCTTACCCTTCTTTCTCTACCACCCCGTGTTCTCACTCTCATCTGCTTTGCCTTTCTTTCGCCCGGTAAACGCGTCTCAATCCTCACCCCGCCGCGCCATAGCCTCACGCCTCGTTCCTCTCGCTTCACCCGTTGCACTCGTCTCTCCACTCTCGCTCCTCTCGTCTCTCGTCGCGCTCCATGCTCTTCATTCCTCGCGTCTCGCTCCTCGGGTCCTGAACTCGCGCGTCCTGCACCCCGCGTTCTGCGCCCCGCGTCGCGCGAAAGCTAGTACGCGAGCATATTTCTCTCTGACCCCCATACCAACACCTTCTCACCTGATCCCTCAACCAATACTGTCTCTCCCACCTTCTTCATCGGTGCCGAGTTTTTTTTATTTCCCGTTTCTCTTGTTTTCCCGCGTGTCATTTGCACTTCCTCCTCTCTCCGCCGCTACGTCTCTGTCCATCCTACTGCCTGCCCATGATAGCGTTGGCGTCTCTCGTTCGCGTTCCCTTTCCCGTTGTTGGTCATGCTTTTTCCCTTTTTTCTTCGAGCGGTTTCAGCGTTCAGGGATAAGGCTAGTTTAAGCTTCCCGGACAATCCCGGCACGCGTAAAACGACGACTAGGAATAGCTAATGTCGAACTACTGGCAATGAGAAATACGCCGAAAATGTGGTCGCGTTCATTTTATAGAACCGAAACGCATCGAGTACGATGTGAAGTGGTGTAGCGTTTTCCAACAGTAGAGGCGGGATCAAATGTGTTTATAAGTAGGTATTAATGTAGATGGGATAGTTACGAATGTTTCGTGAGTACTTCGGGAAAGGAAAGCGATACTTTCGGATAGACTCGAATCCTGACGAATCCGGATGTTGAGCACAATAAATGCGTGAAAAACATATGCAATTTATGCATGAAAGATATAGTAACGTGCATGGAAAATATGCTAGTATACAGTGAAAATATACAAAATTAATAATATATTTTGCGATTATTACGACATATTATAATGCGAGTTACAATGAACGGCGAGTATTTTTCCATATTGGGTGGTGTTAATTGATGACGCTTAGCCGTAAGTATTTATCAAATAAAATCCTGCATCTATGTTTTCACTTCTAATCTTTCCTAATACCAGTAAAAGCAGTTAAAATTGATCCGGAAACAATACACAGGGTTTTGTCTTTTGGCAATGGGACCCTTATAAAAGGGTCTAGCCCAGACATGGGCGAGTAATTTCGACCACGAGCTACAACCTCCACTACTATTTCATGCACATTGCTACACATACCATGGACAGGCCCGCGTGGAACACAGAAGAAACAGTGTCATATCGTTTCTCGTGTCGCGTGAGTGTGCGAAACATATCTGAAGAGCCACATTTGGCTCACGAACCGCAACTCGCTCATGCCTGGTCTAGCCAAATAAAATGGTCTAATTTGCCCGCAGAGGTTTTTCAATGGCTATTACACCGTTCGATAGCTGATCAGCTTGTAGCTTGCCCGTGTGGATACAATTGCCCGTTATAAAGTAAATAAGATTATGTGCGATACCCTCCTTCTCGGATGGTTTTGGATGTGGCATGTTTTAGATCTTAAGTCGCATATTAAAGAATTTCTCTAATTTTTTTGTTGCAAAGTGTGATCGCAAAATATGAGAAACCGAAAAAAAATTGGAAAACTGCAGATTTATCGAGAACAAAAATATTTTAAATATTCGTAAATATATATATATATATACCACATATATATATATATATATATATATATATATATATATATATATAATATATATATATAATATATAAATCTGCAATTTTCCGATTTTTTTCGGTATAGTAGGGTGGCCCTTAGCTGGTCGAAATTTTTTGTAAATATTTTTTGTGTCACAATCTCTCATATTGTCAAGCTAACTGAAAAAAACTAATTTCTGCAAAATTTTAGATCAATTAAACATCGTTAACCTCTTAGCTGTGGACGACGCGTATACACGTCATAAGAAAATGGCAGTTTTATGTCTTACAATTAATCTCTCAAATCATCTCCTACGACTTCGATGCTTGTGAAACATATTCATAAATTTCAATAATTTAGTATAATTCTAGAACATCTTGTCGAATGAAATTGCACGCAGTGTGATCGATAAAACGCATACAAAATTGATCTTGAAAATAGGTCGTCACAGCTAAGTGATTAAACCTTGTCACATGTGTACTGCTTTTCTTCTTGAGTTTTGGTTAATAATTTGTTGTATTCTGTCATATCCTTGACATCCCGATCGGCAGTATCATTTACAACTTTTAACAGTTTTGCAATTTAAAAAATGCGTTTCATAGATCTCAATAAGTTATATACATGTTGAAGATTTCATCGAAACCGAGATCTACAAAATGCATTTTTTTAAATTTCGTTATAGGCTCAGATCAAAAGTTAAAAAAATGAGAGTCTTTTATTTTGTTTTATCACTTCAAGTAATAGCAAAATTATAACAAAATAGTTTAGTCATTGTCTAGTATATTAATCCCTCTATCATCTAAAAAATTCAAATCAATTAGTCCAGTTTTTAAAAAGTTATTGCGTTTTAAAAGGTGAGAGAATATTAATACGAGTCACTGTATATGTATACAGAATGGGTCATTTAAAACAGGTCACCTGAACAACTCGTTTGTCTATAATAAAAGAAAAAATAGTTCCAGACAAAACTTACTTGGCTTCAGGTGCCACATAATATGATGACAAATCATTTTAAATAGAATGGTACACTTTTTACTCTACGATCTTATTCTGCGTAAGGAGAGTAGTAATTTTTGTCTGAACTATTTCTTTGTAGAAGCTTTAGTTTCGGTGATATCGAGGGACACAGATACAAATTTGATCTTCATTAGCAGAGTCAGTATGTTAATAAAAGTATTATCAAGTATCAATAATGTTGTATCTGTGTCTTTTCATATCATAAAAACTAAAGGTTCCACAAAAAAATGCTTCAGACAAGTGTCACCCTTTTTTTTTACATAGAATTACATTCTGGAATAAAAACTTTGACCTTCGTATGTTTTCTACGCCTCCACCGAACACAAAATTATTATCACCACATTATGTGCCCCTTGAAGACCAGCAACTTTTGTCTGGAACTTCTTTTTCTATTGTTAAAGACAAATGAGTTATTTAGATAAGCTGTTTTAAATGCACTACCCATACTAGATTATGGTTATGCTACCTATACAATCGTGTAGTTATTGAAATAGTCGGTTAAGTCGTGTCTTGAAAATGCATAACGTTTTGGGAATCTTCAGAAATCAGGTAACACGGGTGCCAGTTTTGATCGAATAACTTCATTGGGGCATGAATTTGTGTTTGATACGATTAGCTACGAATAATGAGAAAATGTACTATCTTAGGAGTATAAATACGCGAAAGGGTGAAGAACGTTCTGGAACTGTGAGTCGATTAATATCGTCTTTGTCAAATTGCCTGTATATTACCTGATTGAAAGGACGAACTTGGTTACATCGTTAACGCGCTAGGAAAATCAAATCAAATCAAATTCTCTCTGAAAGTGAATAATTGGGGAAAAGAGAATCTATCGAAAATCTCTTCCTAATAAACAGTCAACATGTACTACTGTAACTCATTTTATAGACACTAACGTAATGAATGGTATATAGATGGTATACTGGAAACGCGCGAAGGAAACATTAAATCACGTATTAATTTAAGCAATATTCTTCGCGCTAATTGGCTATTACGCATCACCTGCAACAAGGGCGCCATGAAATCCAGAGTTATTAACTAGCACGCCCGTTTCTAAAAGTTACTCTTCGTTGATCAATCACAAGATGTGTCTTGCTATTACTTCTGTTTCTTTTCCAGCATAGCTTCGTATCGTTAATTTTATGCATATACGGAAAAAATGGGTAGATGCAATTTAAAACAGTAAAAAGATTAAAAGAATTTTAAAATGTTAATGCATTATTTTTCATCTATTAAAGCGAATAAACAAAGAATGAACTTGCTATTTAGTTTCTGTTTCGTACAATTGATGAACTCTATTTTCTACCCGTGTTAATAACACCTAAAAAACATGTTACGTGCATATATGTGTATGTGCCTTTTTCTTTTTAAAAACAAAAAGCGAAGACACTCTTTGGCTAATCCTAGAAACGATGAAAACAGTGTATAAACAAGAATTATTTATTACGAATGGGTGCATTATGTGATAGAAGTATTATTCTTATCTGGTACGATGATAATGATTTCGAAATCAATTTACCTTACTCAAAACGAATGCTGTTTTTGTTTTCATAACATGATAATGCGTGTCAGGACGAATTCAACGAGGTGCCATGTATGTGATTTCTTTTTATTGAGAATGATAAAACAGTCCAAAAATGAGGGTTAAATCGCAACACGCTCCTGACTATAGCGTCTGTCCTTTAAGTATATTTAACTTCGTGTGCAACTGAAGTGAATCAGATACAAATATTAAATCCTTACACTATAATATCGTGTCGGGCTCCTTACGATGATTTCGAACGTAATCACCGAAATTTGAATGTTACGGTCTTCTTTTAAAACGCAATGAACGAAACACATTATGAGTCAAAATATATAGCCGTGCATTCTTCAAATCATTCTTACCTGAGGATTAACAAGAAAGGTCTAAGTGGTAAATAAATACCACCACAGTGGTAAATAAATAGAAACGATGTGAAATATTTCGACATTAACGTTCACGTGCCCTGTTATGTAAAATAAGTAGCATCGGTTAGCTATTATCAGACACGTTGGAAGCTCATTTTTCGGTGCCTGAAATAAACAAATTTTATTCTATATTTTCGTCTCTGATTTTTGTATATCGAATCACGTCTCTTTCATGCCATCGCGAATGAATAAACTGTTTTGAATAAATGTTTTTGTTAATAACCTCGCGATAAACAAACAAAGTAAAATCTTTGAAGCATTATACAGAGTGATGATCTTGATTGCGTGTTTTTAAACATTGTTAAAATCGGAGCGTGATTCCGTTTTGTATCTAATTTTCGTATTTTTGAAAGGCGAAACAACAGGTCATATCCAGTTTACAAATTACTCTATATAAGTTTATAATTAATAAAGAAGTACTTATAAAATGTAGATAAAAATAATTATGAAAGTAGCA